TCAAATGCCCACTCTCTTCACACACACACACACACTCACGCACACACATACGTACAAACACTCTACACACGTGCACACACCCTCCTCTCACACACACACACACTCACTGCTCGTGCACGTCTCTGCTGCAGTGAAGTAAATCTGCATTTCTAAACATTATCTTTGTAAGAAAGAGTTCACACTTTTACGAGACGAGACTTTTTCTTTCCTCTAAACTTCTCGACGCCTCAGCTTTTATGGAATCTGGAATTTAACATTGTGCGGTTTTACTACTTTATGTGTGACTTAGTCTTGCAAAAAAGTGCTTTTGCAAACTAACTGCTAAACTTTACGCTTAATAAACACGTATATAATCAATCTTTATACTGCATATTTGTATTTTCTGAAAGTACTAGAACTCCCAGAGCAGTTAGTTTGACTGCTTCCGTTCAAATAGATTTTAATTTTTGATGTATTTCAATCCAAAACTGGTTCAAGCCCGTTTTGGTTCAATCCAATTTGGACTAAAGCTAAAGAAGGCTAAGTATTTTGGACGGATTCATATTTTTGAGGTATAACCAGTGGGGGCGGGTCCTAGCTCAAAAGTGGCCAAAATGACGTGCGCTGACATGCTGCAATACCACCCCGGGCCGATGGGGGTGGACCCAGAAGAAGAATTAGCCAATGCTAACATATAGCATTGGCAGACCTCTCAAAAACGTGTTTACAGGATGGACCAAAAGTCGCTCTTGGCCCAAAGCTCCGTTCCACATGTGTGTCAATGCTGAGGGGGGTGGATTTTTTTGGACCAGTCTAGTTTAGTCGCTGTGAATTTTTTAAGTCACTCGTTTAAGTAAATGGGGCTCGTGCAGCTGACGCATGCACAGATGCGTTTTTTTCACATTTTCCAGCCCCCGCGGCCATTTTAAATCACTCCAAGAGAGCCCACTTTTTGGGCCATTAGTTAGAACAGCGGAGATAGGCGTCCGTTAATATACACAGTCTATGGGTATAACATGGCATAGTAGCACTAAGTGTTAAGTTTCAAACATTCATAGTATCCCTTTGATAAAAACAAGGAGAGAGAGTGAAGTTTGTGGATGGGAAAAGGTCCAAGGGCCACATAGAAACGTGAATTGGGCCGCATGTGGCTCCTGGACCGCACTTTGCCCCGGTCTACTTCAGTCTCAATAACGCTGACATCTTCTCTTATTTTACCCCAAGAATAAAACACGGCTTCATTTCCATTTCAAGAGCTCTATTTTAGTATTTAGTGACATTTTGTGTTTCAAAGGAAAGAGACAAAGCAACAAGTTTGGAAAATAAATAAACAAAAATAACAGTAACCAGAGACGAAATCAAAGCGGCTTTTCAAAATAAGGTCAAATCTTCAAACAGGTCTTTTACTTTGGAGAGCGGGAAAAGTCAACATTAGCATCGGATTGAGGTGCAAATGGGGCGCCATGTTGGGAAAGCAGGTGTGAATAATGATGGGGTCACAATGCGCGGGCTCCAAATTGTCAAGAGGAGAATAAGGGCTTTTGAATCTTCTTTTTGTTTCGCTAATAAATGAAAGAACTTTGTGGTTGCTGCGTGCTCACGCTGCTAAACCGTTATCACAGGACAACGAAATGAAAAACATGTGATTGCAAACCTGACTTTCCCCCAGAGACCAATTAAAGCTGCGACCCCAAACTACTGACATTAGCAGTTCTCAGTAGTTTTCACACGTCCCAGTGAAAAAGAGAGGCCAGCACCATTCAGCCAATCAGCTCTCAGCCAATCAGCTCTCAGCCAATCAGCTCTCCGCTCAAACAGTCCAATAGTGACTCACGGGGCTTGCTCTTACGCCTGCAAAATATGACTTTCTAATAAAATGAAGACGGCAAGATGTGGTCGGTTTTATATAACGCTGTTTTTAATTGTAGCCACAGATGCCCTGGGTCACATTGAGAAAAGCGAGGCAACCAGTCAGTGCCATCGGCCCCTCCCACCACCACCAAAAATTCACGCACACACCACACAGCTAATGTGTGTGATTTTAAACCAGACAAACCAAGGTAGCATCTGCGACGGCGCTAATAAAAATGTTCTTTCGACCAGAAATCAACTTTCGACCAAAACGAGTGGAAAATGACAGACTTCTGCAAACTGTCATTGTGATAAGTTCAGTTTTAGCAAGTCATTTTTATTTATACAGCACCTTTCACAGACCAGAGTCACAAAGCGTTTCATGGATCTCTCACTAAGACATCCATAATCCTTTGTTAAGTCAATTTTAAAGTAATAATAGTAATGCATGGGTTTTATATAGACTTTTTTGGACACTCCAAGACACTTCACATCCATCCATCCATCCATTTTCTACCCTTTAATCCATTTCTGGGTCAGGGGGGTGACAATCAGAGATACCACCCAAGTCTCATAGCACCAGCCCCTCACTGATCCTCTGCAGGTGGTGAGTCCACAGGAGGACGGCTGCTCTCTGAGTGTGAGCATAGCCTTGATCTTTCAGTGGGGGCTTTTGGGCAAAGTGGGGTTAAGTGTCTTGCCCAAGGACACAACGACAGCAGTCATCAGTGGGAGTCGGTGGAGAAGGTGTAGAGGTGGGAATTGAACCCACAACCTTCAGGCCTTAAGGCAAATGCTCTACCAACTGAGCTACTGTCGCCCCTTATGACACTTCACATGTCATAATTCATTCACTCCATACACGGTGGTGATAAACTACTAATAGCCACAGCTGCCCTGGGGCACACTGACAGAAGCGAGGCAACCAGTCTGTGCTATCGGCCCCTCCAACCACCAACCATTCACACACACACACCAGACTCATTCTAGGCAATGGGGGTTAAGTCTCTTGCCCAAGGACACAACAACAGCAGACACCAGTGGGAGTCTTCTTCAGGCTCAAAGGCCAATGCTCTGAGCTACTGTCGCCCTAATTGTCCATTGGCTACAAAAAACTGGGGTCGGTCTCTCCTTGCTTCGTACCCATTCGAGCAGATTGTAACGTACCTTGGATGAGTCCGAAAAACGCTGTCTTCGATGCTAGTTCCACTTTGATGGTTCCTCAGTCCGTCACCAGCGACCGCACCATGAAGAGTACTCACGGTGTTCTGTGTGTAATGGAGTAATGGAGTTTGTGCCTCACAGACACAGACTATTTACTGGACTTCTATTCCGGGCGGCCGCGAGAGAGCGTATAGAAAAACATGAATACATATACGACTAAAAGCACCGTGTATCCTTCCAGGGAAATACATAGAAGGATCTGCAATATTCAACTTGTGAAAGCCGCAAGTAATCGAGAGAAAAAGTGACATAACATGAGGTTGGAAAAGTTGTTTGTATGAAGGGTCTGGTCCATCCCATATGAATGATAGGAGTCAACGTTGGAGAACCTATCTTTCAGACTACAGAAATGGTCCATGTCTTTAGTTCCTCAAAACAGTTTTATCACCAGTATTTTGGCCTCTGTCGCATTTTTTGATCAGCTTTTTCCGACAGAAAAGTGAAAGAGAGAGAGGACCACCAGCACTCAGCCCAAAGAGGTCATACAGATTTGTTCACCACATCATTCAGAGTTATATCGAAAAGCAGACACCAGGATCATGTTGAGCCAAATAACCAAGTGTTGATGTTTTTGGGTTGATTTTGTAGTTTTAAAGCATGAAATGATCAGGAAGTTGCTATGATCCATACATTTGACAGTAAAGTCCTGGATAGTCCAAAATATTATGGTTTGTTTTTATCATCGTAAAACAAAATGACCATAATTTGGAGTCATATCTTCCTATCATATCTTTTACAATATTTAATAAATCATCTTTAATTGTCCCTCAGTGGGGAACTATTGGAATAAATATTGTAGCGTGAGATCAATATTGATATTTTATAGTACCGTGAGATTTGGTATTGTTACATTCTTCATAAACACTTGTTGTTTTTCTCTTTTCTCACTAAATTCTTCCAGTCTGAGTTGTGCAACACATTTTGACAGTTTATTTAAATGATGAAAAATATGTTTGCTGGGTCCAATTATAGATATTAAAAACATTTTCAAATCAAGAATCCATCCAGCCATTTTCTTCCCCTCAATCCATTTCTGGGTCGGGGGTTGACAGTCAGTGAGTTCACAGGAGCCTTTATTCTTCAGCAGGGGCTTCAGGCAAAGTGGGGTTAAGTGTCTTGCCCAAGGACACAACGACAGCAGTCATCAGTGGGAGTCGTGAAGTAGGTCTTATGGTCGAACCCGCAACCTTCAGGCTCAAAGGCCAGTGCTCTACCAACTGAGCCACTGTCAATCAAGAATTGTTTTCACAAATTCCCAAGTGAGCTGTTGCTTATCTTAATCTGTTTTTCTGGTTTGCAAAGAAGTCCATAACAATCGCAGCAGTTTCCTAATCGTGACCAAGTAAAACGGGATGTCGATTTAGTTATAATTAGCGGCCCTTCCACTAAAAGGCCTGGACAATCTGCCTATTACTGACGGGGGGCCTCTCGATTCTACCAAGCGAGGTCCCAGGTACCAGCAACCAAACACATGTGTGAGGGAGGCACTGGTCCATCCCATTTGAATGATATTCGTAAAAGTAAAAGTTGGGGTACCTGACTTTCGAACCACAAAAATGGTGCATGCTTAGGAGTCAGGTTGTAGAACGAGGACAGGTGCGATGCAGGACTGAAGCAGCTCCAAGGCGTGGAGGGGATGCAGCATGAGTGGGGCAGGGCAGGCCACAGGTGCAGATGGAGGGGGCCGGCCCTATCATCACACCAACATACAGACAATGGGACAACGGGTGAATAGCAATGAACAGACTCAAAATCCTAATAATGCAGACAGATACAGTAAAGTGGGAAGGAGGAGAGGATGACAATCAACAAACAAGATATTTAGTCTTCCCTGAGTCTTTATCTATTGTCTTATTCTGACAGAAAAGTGAAAGAGAGAGAGAGGACCCCCCTCAATGAGCCCATAATAAGTCCATAATAATCACAGCAGTTTACTAATCGTGACCATGAAAATTGTGATTAGTGCCTGCAAGAATCTGCCTATTACCGACAGGGGCCCTTTGATTCTTCTGAGCAAGATCCCAGGTACCAGCGACCAATCAGGTGAAGGGAAGAAACGTCCTTGAAACAACATCAATGTGATTGTAGAAGAGAAAAGTCGTTTTCCACCGATGGAGTGGCCTCTCGTCCCGACCGCGACGGGCTGAGCAGCACCTCGCTCACACGTAATGATAGCTCACCTTCGCTCACGTATAATAACAGAAGCATGTTTGGAGGGGCGGCCTCTCTGCTCTGCCTTCAGAACGTGGAGCTGCTAGCCATTAGCCGGGCGCCGCCGAGAATCTCAATGCAGAGAGTGAGAGACAGGAGAATGAGCGATGAATATTTAAACAAACTCCGACTGAGAGAGATAAAAGAAGGACGCGTTTGGACTATAGACACGCGGAAACACTGCTGCTGCTAGTACTACTGCTAAAGTACTATGAATATTTAAGCACACATGAACATACATGGCCATACTGCTTCGACTAATAAGTACTGTTCAGAACCTCTCCAGAGATTCTACCCTTCTACTGCTACTGCTACTAATACATCCTACTGCTACTACTAATACTACAGCCTACTGCTACTACTAATACTACATCCTACTGCTACTACTAATACTACTTCTACTGCAACTGCTACTAATTCTACTCCTACTCCTACTACTGCTCCTACTGATACTACTGCAACTACAACTCCTACTACTGCTGCTACTACTACTACTCCTACTCAATATTATCTGTTTTCAGGTCTCCACAGTGGCAGATAGATATGAGAGAGAGAGAATGAGAGAGAGAGAGAGAGAGAGAGAGAGAGAGAGAGAGAGAGAGAGAGAGCGAGAGCGAGAGAGAGAGAGAGAGAGAGAGAGAGAGAGAGAGAGAATATCACAGTATCCAGAAGACAGTTTTCAGTGCTCCTGGCCAAAGTCTGAGGAGAGAGCTCTAGAGCAGTTCTGAGCATTAATCTAAAACTGTTATTCAAAAATGTGGTCACTCCACCCAAATAAATCTAGCCTGGACTTACCACACCATCGTACTAATTTCATTTCGTACTAAGGTCCAGATTTGCTCTGTTAACAGGTGGGAGGGGTTAACTCCGTTTGCAGATTGAAACGATTGGATCTGAGTTTACCGTGACGAATGTAATGTGCCCGTGTAAGTAAGGCATTTAGCATTTAGCCTAGCTTTAGCCATCCTCTTTGCCACTAGCGGAGCCCGTGGGGAGTAGATCCACAACATCTTTGTCAGCAATGAAATCTGCGAAACATTCCTCTTGCTCCGGTTTCAGTTTCTTGATATTTGGATTGAACCAGAACAGATTATTCTCCGCCAAACTACAACCGGCAAATTCGGCGCAAACTCTCGACGTCACTGACACCCCTCCCTACAATACCCGCCTCCCCCGCTCTCTGATTGGTCGGATAGCATTCAACCGAGGAAACTGCAGCCACTAGGATCAGACCCAGGCGTACATGTAGGAAATAATAATTGACCAGAGTTTACAGATAGCTAAGACCAGGCTAAAATAAATCTCTCACATATAAAAAGACCCGTCCTCCAACCTTTACCACGGCTCACCGCGTTCACTGTGGCTTAGGTGTATTTACCGTTGCCCTCTGAACGACCTAGCACTCATTCTCCGCAGCAGATAGATATATATACTCCAGACTTATTCTCAGGCGTAACCGTGGCGACAGGTGACAGTCTGTCGTCATGGAAATGATTCATTTACAGATTCTTTCTTCATTCATAAATGATAAAAGAAAAAGTGAAACATTGCCTGGAGCTAAAAAACACCTCAAGTGGATTTGGAAAAAGAACTGTAGCAACAACAATTGAGTCTGGGCTGAAGTGAGTTAAACAATGCTTTTCGGGGTCAGTGCCAGAGCTGGGCCTGTCAATCAAATTATACACAAGCGCTATCTTCTGCGTACTTGTAAGAAAGAGCCCTGTGAGTCACTACTTGACTCTTTGGGCTGTGAGCTGATTGCCTGAGTGAGGGTGGTTCTCATTGTCACTTTTCTGATTTTTTTTATTTGCCTGTTTTTGTCTCTGTTCAAGAAGTTTACTTTCTCTAGTGCAGGGGTCTCCAACCTACAACAACATCAACAACAACAACAACTTATTCTTGTACAGTCCTGAATCACGACAGCATCATCTCAGAGACTTAACAAAACCATTGAATCACCAACACAGATCAGAGAATCAACAGTTAAGACACACAATATACACATATGTATTGGTCCATAAGAGAGACCAATGTTCATGAATGTTGATAAATGTCATACTGTACATGTTGTAGAATGTTAAAGTGTCCTGGATCATCACAGTCCTTCCAGTTAGACACTAACTGCCCAACAGACCCTCCTGCATCGGCAAGGAAAAACTCACAAAAACCCAGAGGGAAAAAAGTGAGAAACCTCGGGGAGACCCACATATTGAGAAAGGGATCCACTCTGACACGGACGGACGGGTTAATGATCCAGGACCTAAGCCACAGAACATGGACCAATGCCACGCAGCGGCCGCAGAGCGTGGACAGGTCCGGAGCAGGACTGAAGCGCCATATAACCTGTAGCTCGGGAGCCACCAGTAGCTCACCACCCCCTTCCAGGTAGCTCGCCAAAGGATTATACTTAATATTTCAGATTGTATTATTCATTATCATTATTTATTACTTTAAATTCACTTACCTTGTGCATAAATACTGAACGTATCCAATATCAGACTCGTTCACACCAATATATTACCATATTTTTTGCGGGGTTGCTTAAAGGAGTAGCTCTCTGCCTTCATCGTCCCGGGAAAGTAGCTCTCTGGGTGAAAAAGGTTGGAGACACCTGCCCTAGTGTCGTTGTCAAAGAATGAGATATGAGAGGTTTGAAATGTAGCGTGTGATTCAGATTCAGATTCATTTTTTTGCGAAAGCCTCCAGAGTGCACCAGACAAGTACATAAATAAAACCAGGTTAAAAGTACAGGGATAAAACAAACACAATCGCCACGGTGAAATCAATCAACTAAAGCAGTTTCAATACAAGTGCAAGATCATTTAAACTGATAACAGCTTGTGGAAAGAAGCTGTAAGCAAAACAAGATGTCCTGCATCTTCTGCCAGAGAGAAGAAGCTGGAACATGGCTTTTTCAAGGGCCAGAAGAGTCACTGATTATCTTAAGAGTCTGGATTCATGAAGAACCTCCAGAACAGGCAGCTCAAAGCTCAAAGTAAACTAGCGTGTGCAACTTTACTGGTTTGATTCTGTCTCTATGTGAGCATAGATATGTTTTCTCCAATGCACACCCACCAACACATGATAAACATAACCCTGTAATGCCGCCCAGCTTCACCCATTCGGCTCCTGGATACATTGAGCTGGAGACCCCTGATTTAAAGCCAGGAACTAGGGGCATTGATTTTATTAGAGAGAGTTGCTTGTTTGGAGAGTTTTACAGCTCTCCAAGCGATCCGTAAATCAGCTGCAGAAGATTCAAAACGCTGCGGCTCAAGTCCTGACCAGGAACCAGGAAGTACTTTCACTTTAGTCCAGTTCTCAGGTCTCGGCGTTGGCTTCCTGTGGCTCAGAGAATTTACTTCAGCTCTGGTCATGTACACTCTCATCTCTCCATGGCTTCGCACCAAAGTACATCATGTTAGTGTCAACTCGGACTCTGAGTAGCACAGGGACTGGCTTCTTGCTGGGACTCTGAGGAGCACAGGGACCGGCTTCTTGCTGGGACTCTGAGGAGCACAGGGACTGGCTTCCTGCTGGGACTCTGAGGAGCACAGGGACCTTTGTTCCTTCAGCTCCAAGACTATACAGCAGATCTCTCTGAGCTGAACATGTGACCGAAACCCTGACCCCTAATGTTAGTTACTTAACAACTTTTGGAATCATTGGTTAGATAAGTTTCTGCTGCTGGACACCTGAATTTATAAAAGATGAAAAGTCTACCTATCTACCTACCTACCGATCATCTATCTATCTATACCTATCTACCTACCTATATAATCTACCTAGTTAGCTAACTATCTATCTATCTACCTCTACCTACTGTATCTACTTACCTATTTATTAATCTACCTATTTATCTATCCATCTATCTAAAGGGGACTTGGTTCAGGATCAGAGCAGGTCTCGCACTGTGGTTGGAGGTCACGGCTCTAAATCCGTACATACATACAGATATATCCGTGGACACTATGAGCTCTTCCGGCTGATGTGATTACAGCCGAGGAGGATGAGGAAGTGGCACAAGGATCAGTTTACCCAGGCTCCTCTTACCTGGGCTCCGGCTCGGCTTACGGAAACCCAAACCCGGGCTCAGATGAGGGACTAGGGCTGTACACACTGACACACTTGGACACCTGTGTAATGAGCCGCTGTGGGACAATGGGACAGGGCGGCAGGCAGCGGAGGGACTAAACTCCTTCTGATGTGAGATAAATGAATAAACAGATGGATACAAAGATAGACCGGGCGAGTACGAGTCATCTCTCAGGTTTGTGGAGATGAAAACCAGCAAGTGCGTGGTTCTATGCTGCTAAAAAAGTCACGGACAGGACTCGGACATTGACAGCATATGGACAGACAGGCAGGACACAGGTGACATTGAGACAGAGAGGACTTAACGCTGAGATATTTGGAGATTTCATGACACTTTGAAGACATTGCTCGATTCGTCCCACAGTGGGGAAATTTCAGTGTCATTGTTGCACTTTACAGCAAAGAACGCAGGATATAAGATTCCGATTGCACACATCAAACAGAAGAATTGAAATAAACTCTGGAGCTATAATTGCACTTGCTTCAGTATTTACAGATGTGCATCTTGTAGCAGGTAACGTGACCAGTGGATGACAGACAGATCAGATGGATGGATATGTAATAATGCAGTAATAATAGCCACAGGTAAAGTGACTAGTGACTGAGTTACTAGTGAATTATTATCAGTTAAAGTCATCATTCTAACAACGCACAAACCAGTACTTTCCCACTACATGTTTGGGTTTTCTCAAGGCCGGAGCTACTGGCACGTCGGCAGCTGCTGATAGGACGGTCTATGATTCTTCCTGTATAATATCACTTGCATTGTGTGAAACTTAGTCTTCTATCATCGACTATAAAACATGACACGATCCCAGATGATTGTCATTTTCTTCAGATACGTAACTTGTTTTGTCCAAAAGAAAGAATTAATAACATTTTGTGAACACATCAGACTTGTATGCAAACTCTGAGCTGAGAGCTGATTGGCCGAGGGGTGTGATAATGTAGCACTTTTATGGACACTCAAAGACACTTCATGTGGCTTCTGTATACAGTGGTGGTAAACTACTGCTGAAGCCACAGCTGCCCTGAACCAAGACCACAAATTGTGCACACACACACACACACGCGCACGCACACCAGACCCATGCGAGGCAATGTGGTGAATTGTCTTGCCTAAGGACACAAAGGCACTTTACAGCCGCCCTACTGTGGTTCCTGGTGTTAATCCCCATCACAAAACTAACCAGGCCCTTTGCTGCTTAGCTTCTGAATTCTTCCTTTCACATGCTCATACCACCAACAACAGAAAAGGACAATGCAGAGAAGGTTAAATTTCCTCTAACAAATGTGACCTTTTTAGGAATATTCACCTCCACAATGTCACATATTGTCCTGCAGAGCTACTGTAGTACCGTAAATTACAATAGATGATCTCAATGCTACACTGTAAACCCTAACTTCAATCCTACTTCAGATATCAAGTTATTTTAAATAGATTTTTCCCAGTAAGTAGATATTACTCATTTATTGTTAGTTTATTTAAAGCTTGCCTATGTCACTCAGGGTTTTCTTTGAATTGAACTGTTTCTGTTCAAGTAAGCCTCACTTTTGACATTTTGATGTGTAGAGTCTTTAATGAGGCAGGTGTGACAATGGCAGGGTGTCCTGGTGGCTGAGTGGGTAGCACCATCACCTCTCAACCACAGGGTTCTGAGTATGAATCCCGGTCGGAGCATAAGTAGAAATTTAAACTTTATTGCAATCACTCAAGTTTACTTGGTAATATCAAGTAAAGGATGTACTCGAGGAATTCAAGTGAAGTTAATAGGCAATTTATTTCCATGGTTTTTTCAAGTAAACTTTACTTGTCAGGGTTTACAGTGTAGATGGGAGTAAAAACTGCAGTGTACCTTTAAAGGAGACCATAAGCCATTGTTTTCTTTTCAAATCTGCAACTTTTTCATTATAGTTTTTTAAATATATTTTTGACTGTCACATAAAGTGTTGTGTCCTCTGCTCTTCATACTGTAAAGAGTATTTTTAAATGTTCAATCAAACCAGAAATAAACAGATATATCCTGAAACTGAAAGGAAACTGAAGACGTATTCCGTTGGTGCGATCTGGTTTCTCGTCGGGGGAAGGTTGTCACAGAATTTGGTCAAACCGGTTTTGGATTCCAGGCATATTCTCCGTGGTTCACACATTCTGAATGTCCTCTGTGAATCACCAGCGCTTCCTCCGGCTCAGCTTGCATTTCACCGAGAAACTCTCCTCTCTCCCACAAGGAAGAGACCTGGGCGAGACCATAGACTGTATATATTAACGGACAGAGTCACGCCTATCTCCGCCGTTCATAGGAGTTGGCCATGAAAAGTGCTTTCATGGAGCAATCCAAGATGGCCGTGAGTTCATTTGAACGAGAGACTTCAAAAATTCACAGCGAGTAAACTAGAGTGGACCAAAAAAACTCATCCCCCTCAGCATTGACACACATGTGGAACTGAGCTTTGGGCCAAGAGCCAACTTTGGGTCCATCCTGTAAAGACGTTTTCGAGAGGTCTGCCAATGCTATATGTTAGCATTGGCTAATTCTTTTCTGGGTCAACCTCCATCGGCCCGGGGTGGGATTGCAGCATGTCAGCGCACGTCATTTTGGCCACTTTTGAGCTGGGACCCTCCCCACTGGGCGAGACCTGGGCGAGACCTGGGTGAGACCAGTGCCACACCAGGACTACACCAGCAGCAGACCAGGACCACACCAGGAGCAGACCGGGACCTCACCAGAACCACACCAGGACCACATTAGGACCATACCAGGACCACACCAGGACCACACTAAAACCTCACCAGGACCACACTAGGACCATACCAGGACCACACTAGGACCATACCAGGACCACACCAGGACCATACCAGAACCACACTAGGACCATACCAGAACCACACTAGGACCATACCAGGACCATACCAGAACCCCACTAGGACCACACTAGGACCATACCAGGACCACACCAAAACCACTCTAGGACCATACCAGAACCACACTAAGATCACACTAGGACCACACTAGGACCAGACCAGGACCACTCCAGGACCACACTAGGACCATACCAGAACCATACCAGAACCACACTAGGACCATACCAGGACCACACTAAGATCACACTAGGACCACACTTGAGCCACACTAGGACCAGACCAGGACCATACCAGGACCACTCCAGGACCACACTAGGACTCCACGCTCGGACCACTTTGAAACCACTTTCGATCCACATTAAGAGATCTGTTGTAGAAAAACCTTGACTCAGAGCCTTTAGGCCACATGTGACAAACCCAAGGCCCTGAACATGTTTCTACAGAGGCCCCTGACCTGATTTAAGCTAACTTGATTGAAGCACTGATGCTGATATGTTAATATGTTGTGGATCACTGTTTCGTAGTCAATGCATCTACTTGAAGCTTGGACCTGAATTCTACCTCTGTGGGGCATCTCTATCTCTTGGTCTTAGGCACTTTTACCATAAACCTGCATCTCAACCATTTGGTAAAAGCTTATAATAAAAAATAAACAATGGGTCAAAAGAAGTGAACATCAAACGGTTAAACCACATGTGACACACGGCCCTAAACATGTTTGGAGTGGCCCCTGACCTGATTTAAGCTAACTTGATTTGAGCATTGATGCTAATATGTTAATATGGCTACCGCTGCATGTTAAGAAAACAACCAAATGATTTAATAGTTCAAGAAGGAGGAGTGCTGCGGTGGGTCTGTGTCAGGAGCTCATCAGGATTAGCAGTGGCAAAAACAGGAAAAATCCGAGGCCCTCTAGACTTTCAGATAAAAATCCTTATATGTTCAGGGATGCGCTGCACGTTTGGGCCACGTAGGGCCTTCTTCAGGGCATGTGTCAAGACTACAAAGTGCCAGGTGTGGTACTTTCAAAAAAATGATCTATCTATCTATCTATTGTTTATCTATTTCATTTGTGTATGCTTTTAATTATTGTGTGTGGATCACGTGACAGGTGTTGATTGCATTTAAACCAGACCTGGCACTTTGTGGTCTTGACACGCCCTGAAGAACAAGGCCCTACGTCTAGTGCAGTGGTGGCGGGTCCTGGCTCAAAAGTGGCCAAAATGACGTGCGCTGACATGCTTGCAATACCAACCCGGGCCGAGGGGGGTGGACTCAGAATAAGAATTAGTCAATGCTAATATATAGCATCTTCTTACCTCTCAAAAACGTCTTTACAGGATGGACCAAAAGTTGGCTCTTGGCCCAAAGCTCCGTTCCACATGTGTGTCAATGCTGAGGGGGGTGGATTTTTTTTGGACCGGTCTAGTTTACTTGCTGTGAATTTTGAAAGTCACTCGTTTAAATGAAAGGAGCTCGTGCAGCTGACGCATGCACAGATGCGTTTTTTTTCACATTTTCCAGCCCCTGCGGCCATTTTGAATCACTCCATGAAAGCCCAATTTTTGGCCCATTAGTTAGAACAGCGGCGATAGGTGTGACTATGTTCGTTAATATTTACCGTCTATGGTCTAGTGTCTAGACTGCCTCGGATTATTCCTCTTCACAAGCCTTTTGATTTCAATGATTGTAAAATTGGAACCCAACATGTAATTATAGTCACAAACAATATATACATTATTAACCTCAGTTTTAAAAGTTTAATCCAAACTGAATTTATAGAGAAACATCTCCCTGATAATATAATAATAATAATAAAATTATATTAAGATGTGGGACTGCTGAGCCCTTTAGTCTCAAAAGCTGCTGATTTGTCTTTTTTTTTTTCATAAAGACAAATTTAGTTACTGCACTTTCAAATCTAAAAGCCGTCAAATTGACTGCTCTGAGTTGTAGCGTTAACAGACATGTAACTGTAGCTAATCAAAAGTGAAACCCCAGCTGTGACAGCAGGGAAAGGTCCCGCTCCGGCCTGGATCTTCTGAAACCACATCTGAGGATCTGAGCAGAGTGTAAGAGGAGCTGTTAGCGTTAGCCGCAGGCATGCTAACAAGATTCTCCTCTGAGGGCGCTCCGTGGCACTCCAGGGCTTCCGTAGAGTGAGGGGACAAACGGGTGCATCGCCATGGTGACCTACAATCAGCCATAATCAAAAATCCAAATATGTCTCTTA